AACACTACAAATGTAAACCAAGGATTCAACAGTGGATAAACACTACAAATGTAAACAAAGGATTCAACAGTGGTTAAACACTACTAAATGTAAACCAAGGATTCAACAGAGGTTAAACATTACTAAATGTAAACAAAGGATTCAACAGTGGTTAAACACTACTAAATGTAAACCAATGATTCAACAGTGGTTAAACACTACTAAATGTAAACCAAGGATTCAACAGTGGTTAAACACTACTAAGTGTAAACCAAGGATTCAACAGCGGTTAAACACTACAAATGTAAACCAAGGATTCAACAGTGGTTAAACACTACAAATGTAAACTAAGGATTCAACAGTGGTTAAACACTACTAAATGTAAACCAAGGATTCAACAGTAGTTAAACACTACTAAATGTAAACCAAGGATTCAACAGCCGTTAAACATTACCTTGTAGACATTAAGTAGTTCTTCCACTTCTGGATGATAACCATATTTTATATCCCACTCTCTCAGCTTTTTTTCAACAGTTGACACAAATTCTAATATTTTGTATTTCTGTTCTTCAAAGAGTAGTAATGATCTATGCTGGTGGGCAAGAACTGATACACGATCCAGTCTCTGATTCAGGTCTTGCATATGGTCTGGTGGAACAGAACCCACTTCTGGTGAATACTGGAGTTGTCGGAAAACTTGCTGGACTCCTTGTAAATCTTGAAAGAATATCTGTAAAGGGTATCATTAGATTTTTATTAAATACCTGAAAGTAACAAATGTGAGAAAGTTATGTAATATTCAACAATGTAACATAATGATTTACTACTTAACAATTCTACAGAATATACTTAGTACAATTCTCACTTGGACATGTTTACAAGTTAATAAATGACTTAGTAAATGCCAAGTACAGACACCCACATACTACCATCACTCTCCGTCTAGTTTTTGTAGAGTTTTCTAAGGTTAGTCTTCCTTTCCTGCATATGTCATGGAAGCAGATTGTGAAATGTGTCACTCTTCCTGATGGAGATCATTCTTCATTATGTTGTGTACTGTTCCCTGTGGCATGTGGACAGCTTTTGCCACTGACCCTTGTATTTGTAGGTTCCTACTTGTTACAAGATGTCACACTTTGCTTAATCTAGCAAAGGAATGTTTTGTTGTTGCAGGAATCTATGCATGGTCCTGGTGACTCAAGTTAATCAATATTCCTTTGTTTTCTAATGCTATTAAATGTAAGAGAGAGCCCTAATTCCTGAATTTTAAATCTCTAATCTGAACACATCTTTGATATTTGAGTGTATGAATATCTTGCATCTCAAAGGGATTTTACATATCCTTCACAAAAGTAATCAATTTTCAGTGATATCATATACCCTATGAAACACCATACAATGTTGAAACACGGATCTAATTCATGCCTACCACTATGACTTTATATTAACTGTGTATGTCACGTAATTTGCAAACTTACATACTGAAAATCATTTTGATATAATGTATTCACCTTCGGTACAAATTAGTACACTTCTTACACATGAAAACACAGTACTAATTAGTACACTTCTTACATACACATGAAAACACAGTACTAATTAGTACACTTCTTACATACACATGAAAACACAGTACTAATTAGTACACTTCTTACATACACATGAAAACACAGTACTAATTAGTACACTTCTTACATACACATCAAAACACAGTACTAATTAGTACACTGCTTACACATGAAAACACAGTACTAATTAATACACTTCTTACATACACATGAAAACACAGAACTAATTAGTCTACATCTTACACATCAAACACAGCACTAGTCTACTTCTTACTTACACATCAAAATACACTAATAATTAGTCTATTTCTTACTTACACATCAGAACACAGTACTAATTACTACACTTCTTACTTACACATCAGAACACAGTAATAATTAGTACACTTCTTACTTACATATCAAAACACAGTACTAATTAGTACACTTCTTACATACACATCAAAACACAGTAATAATTAGTCTACTTCTTACATACACATCAGAACACAGTAATAATTAGTACACTTCTTACTTACACATCAAAACACAGTACTAATTAGTACACTTCTTACATACACATCAAAACACAGTAATAATTAGTCTACTTCTTACATACACATCAGAACACAGTAATAATTAGTCTACTTCTTACTTACACATCAAACACAGTACTAATTAGTACACTTCTTACATACACATCAAACCACAGTAATAATTAGTACACTTCTTACATACACATCAGAACACAGTAATAATTAGTCAACTTCTTACATACACATCAAAACACAGTAATAATTAGTACACTTCTTACTTACAC